TTGGATTTTGGCTTTGACATTCTCGATGGTGTCACTGGGCTCAACCTCGAGGGTGATGGTCTTGCCCGTCAGGGTCTTCACAAAGATCTGCACGTCTGCGTCTGCCGCTCGGCCACCTCGTTGAAGAGAAAGAGGGCGACGCAACCCCCTTTTTTTTTTTTTCTTGCTTGAGTCTTTTTGAAAAAAGCATTTTTTTTTTTTTTTCTCCCCCAGAACTGGAGATTGAGCCCAGGCCCTTGTGCTTGCCAGGCAAGCTTATTTTACTGAGCCATCTCCCTGACCCTAAAAAAAAAAAAAAAAAAAAAAGCATTGTTGCAGTGTGCTTTAAGCATCACAGAATTTTTTGTGCTGTGTTTTCACAAATGCATTACTGTTGTGAGCAGTGGGAAGGTTGTGTCAAAGCTGCTGAGGCTTCTTGTGGGCTGAGCGCAGCTGCTTCCTCGGGGTTGAGCTGAGCCCCAGGAGATGTCCTGGGCCTTTGTGCTTGGTGTTGTTCTCACAGTCCCGCTCCCAGTGCACCTCTGTGTCCTGTGTCCACTGTCAGGTGGCCCCATCCTGTTTGCCACCTCTGAATCCTGGCAGGGTCTGGAAGCCTCCATGCCATGGGTGGAGTGAAGGCCGTGGGCACTGCCAGCTGCCCGCCAAAGCCTGCTGTTGCCAAAGGGATATTCTGACCGCTAACGCGAGGCAGTTCCTGGGACTCTGAAGGAGCAGGTCTTCGCCTGGAGCTATGATTCTGTTCCTTTGTGTATCATCGGGAAGAAGCTTCCCATCTCTTCACTGTTGTTTTCCTAGTGACAGCTTTGTTTCAGACCGCAGGACACACCAGCCGCTCCTCTCCCACCGAAGGGTGGTTGGTGTGTGGATTCTGACCATGGCTGGACAGGTGGATTCCACAGTAGGAAGTCCTAAGCACAGACAAGCATGGGCAGAAAGGGCCAGAAGAGAAAAGCCAGGAAGTGCTGCCCACAGGTCGTGCCAGGAAGCTGTGCAGCCTGGGGCCGGGGCCGGGCGCTCTGCTGTTGTTCTGGCTGCCTCCTTTGCGGAGGGTGAGAGCTCTACCCAGATCCACACAAAGGTTGCTCATTCTCACCCTGTGGTCAGTCTGCCCTGCCTGTAGGGGGCAAGGAGGACGGGTGGGAGCCTCCCCAGGGCTGGGGCCTAGGCTGCAGAGGAGTTGACATTCGGAGCAGGGGTTTGGAGCTTGTGGTTCTTCAGGATGTGCCTGCCTGGCGGGAGGTAGACACTGAGAGGTGATCTGATCAGGAAAGTCCAGGATGTAGGGCTGGGTGGGAATAGCACCGAGAACTGCAAGGGGAGGGGAGGCGGGCCCTGTCCTAGACACCGTCCCTTGTCCTGACAGGCCAGGGGTGCGCTAGCTGTGAGGACAGCTATTATGTGCATGCATGCAAGCAGGGGACAACTGCTGGGCAGAGCAGAGTGAGCAGCAGCGGAGCTGGGGGATCACTGGGAGGCAACTGGATAGAGGGGAGACCCAGCCGAAACCTGTTTCATCCAGGAAGGAAACGGGGCTGGAAAGCCTGAGGACAGCAGGGAGGCCAGTGCGGGACTTGATCACCCTCATGACATCAAGTGTTCAGGTCTTGGCTGAGCTGCCACACCCTGCATAGTGGTCAGACACAAACAGAAGTGCCACGGGGACAGACCTGCTGTGTGCTTGTGTGCTGCTGGGGAATGGGCTACTGTGTCACTGGTGGGAACCCTGGCTGGTTTGTTCACTTTGCTGAACTGGGTCCTGAACCCAAGGACAGTGAGCTTGCTTATTTATCTGCACAATCCAGTATTTGCCGGGCACGGTGGCTCATGCCTGTAATCCCAGCACTTGGGGGGTTGAGGGAGAAAGATCATCACACAACAAGTTCAAGGCCAACCTGAACTACTTAGAGAGACCCTGCCTGGAAAACACTCACAGTTTTTATTTATTTATTCATTCTGGTGCTGGGGATGGCCAGGAACACTGTACTTCTGAGATACATCCTCAGCATTGTTCGATTTTTTTTTTTTAAATCTTAAGGTCTCACTAAGTTGCCCGGACTGGCCTTGAACTTGTGATCCTCCTGATTCAGCCTTCTAAGTGGTAAGGATTACAGGCATATGCCATGCAACCACGCCTGGCTGCTGCATTTAGGCTTTGGTTTTTTTTTTAATTATTTTTTCTTTTTCTTTTTTGGCAGAACTGGGGATTGAACTCAGGCCCTTGCGCTTGCCAGGAAAGCGCTTATTCCACTGAGCCATCTCCCCGGTCTCTGCATTTAATTTTTTTAAAAAAGACAAACTACATGTATTGATTGCATGAATAAACATAAAAAGCAACCACTTGTAAGAATGGTCCTTTCCTGCATTTGCTTTTTGTAATTTTGTGGAAATAGTTGTCAAGTGTGCATGTTGGTATGAGCTTGGTTTGGTGCTGTGCTGAGCCTGAAATGATGGGCTTGCAGGCAGCTCCAACTCTGTGAATTCCTAGTGCGTGAGGGCCCCATACTTGTGCTGCGCACAGATGAAAGCTCTTGGATGGGCTTGTTATGCCCCTGGGTTAGATCTGGTGCTACCAAGTTGGCGCTTACGTAGAGACCTAGTACTATGTGTCGAACCGTAGTGGCCCTGGATGGCAGCTTAGAGTTGGGCAGCTTGGGACCTCAGCATTTGGAGTGTCCTTGAGTCTGTCAAGAGCCGTCCTTGGGCCGAATTCCAGTAATTGTCATGGCAAGGTACCCCCTCACCCAGGGTGTACCCAGTTATGACTTGGTGACATAGTTGGGACCATATTTGGTTTTTGTAACCCCCCCACATGGTGCCACTCAGTGTGACTCCAGCAAGGTGCGGTTTGTGTTAGCTGCCCACAGGTGCCCCCAGCCAAGGTCGGCCTCTGCGCTGTCTTTACCCTTGGCCTGCTCCTCCTTCCCAGGGCAGTGGGAAGGTCCTGGTACCCAGCTCTCGCAGGGCCATTCTCCGGCTCCACCTGGTTGCTTTGCGAGAAGCAGGTATGGGCTTGTGGTCATCAAGCCTTTACCACACGCTGGCCATTCAGGCGAGGAGATGGTTTCTGTGCACAGAAGCCAGGCGTGCACCAGACGTGCTTTTGTCTGGGGAGGCAGCCCTGTCCCCTGAAGGCAGCGGCTGCGGCTCTGTGTCACAGTTGGGCTTCACCTGTCCCGAGGCTCTGTCTGTGGAAGCATTGCCTGAGCACTGCCCCGCCTGGGCGGCCAGGCTCTGTGGGAAGCAAGCGGTCCAGTAGGCAGTGGTTTACCAGACTGCACACTCGCACATGCGTCGTGAGGGCTGCTGGTTTTGTTCTTTTTTTTTTTCTTGGCGGAACCAGGGATTGAACTCAGGCCCTTGCACTTGCCAGGGAAGCGCTTATTCCACTGAGCCATCTCCCCAGCACTTACTGGTTTTGTTCTTAACTGAGCAAGCTGTCAGAATTTTTACAGTGGCTGAGTGTGGTAGCTCACACTGTAGTCCCAGCACTCAGGAGGCTGAGACGGGAGAATGGCTGCAAATTCAAGGTCAGCTGGGGCTTCAAAGTGAATTTAATTAAGGCTAGCCTGAACTGCATGGCTAGACTCTGCCTTAGAAAGGCAAAAAAAAAAAAAAAAAGAATTTTTACAGTGAACTTACCTGGATCCTAAAGGGCCCTAGGGCATGTCGGGTAATTGCAGACTGCGTTCCTCAGTTCCTCAGCGGGAGCCCCAGGGAGGAGCAGCAGCGGCCCAGTGCTGGCTCGCTGGCTCACTGTGTGTTCCCGTGTGTCTGGTGCCTTGCCGTGGGCCCTCCTCCTGTGCACTGCACGTGGGCAGCCAGGCAGCCGCCGAGAGAGCGGGTGGCTCTGCCTTCCGCAGGTTGGGTGGCGTGGGGAGCTCGCGTGCGGCTTTCGCCCGGTGCTTTTGTGTTCGCAGTGGTGGCACAGTTCTACAGTTACGGTGTCTGCCTGCCCACTGCCTGCCTTTCTTACTTTCCTTTAGGTTCTGGGAATTGAACTCAGGGCCTTGCCCTTGCCAGACGGGCTGTGCTGCTGAGCTACGTCCCGCTCCGCAGTGTCTTTACGAGTGAGACTCAGATCTCCAGAAGCCCATAAGCACCAAGCGCCCTGTGGTGCAGGGCGGGCGTCACGCCCTGAGTGTCCTCTGCATGGCAGGGTGCCGGCTGACTGCTCAGCTCTGAGCTGATGGCCAGTGCCCTTGACACTGCTTTAGGGCACTACGTCTGACTCGAAGGTCACGGCCTGCTGTCTGCTCTAGCCTCCTCCCTTTTGTCACCAGAAGGCCAGAAGACAGAAGGTGTCCCCAGCTCCCGTGCAGCAGCAGCATGACCCAGCAGAGAGGCACATCTGAAGACTTCTCGGGAGACGGGGGAGCGAGGCAGCCCTGCCCTCCTGCCCCTCCGTGCAGCCACTCAGTTTGTGTTACATCCTTGTTCTGTCCACACGAAACATGGAGTTCTCTTGTGTCTGATGCAACCAGCCTAAAATGTAGTTTTAATTTAAAGAATGTGGTTCCTTTTTTTGAGACATAGTTTCACTATCTAGTCCAGGCTGGCCTTGAACTCATAGCAGTCCCCATGCCTCAGCCTCCTAAGTGCTGGGATTATAAGCATGAACCACCACTACCGTCAAGAGTGGCTTTTTAAACTAGTGATATTTTATTTGTCTGTTTTTGTCGGCAGAACCGGGAATTGAACTCAGGCCCTTGCACTTGCCAGGCAAGTGTTTATTCTACTGAGCTATATCCCCAGCCCCAAACTAGTGATATTTTAAAATGGAAAATCCCGGGGCCAGGGAGGTGGCTCAGTGGAATAAGCGCTTCCCTGGCAAGCGCGAGGGCCTGAGTTCAATCCCCGGTTCAAAAAAAAAAAAAAAAAAAAAAGGAAAATCCCTCCATCTGAAGTAACAGCAGTGCCTTTTGCCATTTGGGTTCATGAGGTCATGTTACCAGCTTTTTTTTTTTTTTTTTTTGGTGGAACCGGGATTGAACTCGGGCCCTTGCGCTTGCCAGGGAAGCGCTTATTCCACTGAGCCATCTCCCTGACCCCCATGTTACCAGCTTTTAACCAGAGAAAAAGAAATACTTCGGGAACAGACACCACACGGAGAGCAGTGAGACTGGACATGCGGTGGCTGCCGTCACGGGCATGTGTGCCGCAAGTTGCGTTGCCACCTGGGTGCTGCCGGTGTGGAGGCAAGCAGGTGACCGATCCTGGCTTCTGTGTGGCATGAGCTTTTGAGGACAAGATCTCACTGCCTTGCCTGTGCTGGCTTCAGACTCCTGGACTCGGGCAGCCCCACCTGAGCCTCCTGAACGGCTGGAATACAGCTGTGCACCCCTGTGCCTGGCTTACGTGGATCTTACAGACCCAGAACATCCGAGGATTGCTGCTGGGGAGAGTAGGCCTGCCCATGGTACAAGGACGTCGTGTGCCCTGGGAGTTGTGTGGTGACGGTGGGGGCTGTCCTGTGCAGAGCCCAGCACGCTCGGGCTTGGGGAATGCTTGTAGTCTCCATGTAATGCCCTGGGGTGCCACCCAGATGGCATTGTCTTGACATGGTATGCTCATTAGCGTTGGCTGGCCCTGGACGGCGTCTACCTGTGCCCCAGAGGAAATGACCCACAGGGTCCTAGGCCGGTCACCCAGGGCCAGACTGGCCCAGACAGCAGGCGAGCTCCCCACCATTGCCCTTCGAGGACCTTCTATGGGCCTCCCATGTGGACCAGTGACCTGGAAGCCGTGTGTCCTCCACAGAGGCCGCTGTTCCACAGGCATGGGTGTCAAGTGCTTAGTGGGGAGGCTGAGGGACGAGTTGTTCCCAGGGGATGGCTTATGTAGCAGCTGAGTTTCCTGAGTTGAAAGTACACCGTATTCAGGCCCCTTGGTAGTCTCCCTTTTCCAGGGCTTACGAATAGCGTCTCTTGCCTCCTTTGAGCTCTGGATGGCCCATGAATGGGAGGTACCTGGAGGCTGCTGGGTTCCATCTCTCCTCCCAGGCTTGCCACCTTCAGTCACCACACAGTGGCCCACTGAGTCAGCCCCGCTGGCGCCTGGGGTCGGAAAGCATTTGTGGAATGAGGGGACAGTGGCATGTGGCAGCTGTCGGGTGTGGTGGGGAGATACTACTATAAGGAACTGAAGTGGGTACTGTATGCGAGAACAGGGAGCTGTGACTGCCGGCAGCCAGGTGCTGCTTCGTGGAAGCTGCTCTATGTCAGCAGGCCCGCGGTGGTGCGACCAGGCACGAGCCAATAGGCCTCGGTCACGTTGTCCCTGATCCCTGGGGTCACAGCATGAGGAGGAGACCTGCTGTTCAGAGTGGACATTCAGAGGAGCAGCACTGGCTGGCGTCCTTGGGAGCCGAGAAGGGAGGGCAAGGCCTGAGCAGACTCTCAGGAGGCCATGGGTGAGGTGCCCGCCTGGTGGGCGTATGACGCAGACAGCAGGGCAGGGTGTCTGGTGGGGAGTGGGCTCTGCCTCCTAATTTGGCGGATGTGAAGACAGGGAGCACCTGTCCTGGCACTGCGTCCGGCGTGCAGGTAGAGGTGCCAGGGGCCCGCTTCTTGGGTCTCAGAGTTGCCAGTGACAGGCAAGGTGTTCCGGCATTCCTGCAGAGGAGGGGGTGCCATCTTCACTGGGAGTGTTCTGAGGAGTGACTGACACTGAGGACCAAGCACAGCACCCTGAAGGGGGCTGCGCCGGTGCTGCCTGCAGCCCCTGCTGCTTCCCCTGCATCTGGGACCACCAGACCCCTGTCCCACTGTCCTGCTGGGTTGTGCACCCCACACTGTGGCCTGGAGCACCCCTTCAGCTGCCCCATGTCCTTCTGGACAGTGCCATTTCCGTGTGGGGGATGACCTAATTCTTGCCTTTGCCGAGCTCTGAGGTGTCGCGGTCAGGCAGAGCAGAGCCTGGGAGCAGCCCTAGGCTTTGGGCTGCCTTGGAGGGGATGTGGTAGAACACCTACCGAGAAGGAGCAGTGGGCCCTGCCTCAGGTACAGGTGCAAGAGACAGCCCACTTGTCTCTGGGCGTCACACGAAACTTGGGGAGCCCAGACCCAACCCCAGCCCCTGGTATCATTCTCAGGGAGCTCAAGGTCTGCGTCCTCTCAGAGCCCTGGAGAGGGCCTACCTCAGTAGAGAGAGACCCGAGCCAGGGGTCATAAGCTGTCAACTCCTCCTTTTCCCTGCGGAGGAGTTCCGCATCGCCAAGAGGCCTGCTGGCGTTGCTCCCAGGACCCACGGAGGCCAGTGCCTTTGACAGTGCTGTGCCACGTGTGCCAGCGCCTGCGGAGCGCCTGCCCTCGCTGCTGCTGCTGCTGCTGGGCAGAGGTGCTAAGTGAGAGCCTGGTGGGGACTGCACCACAGCTGGGCAGAGAAGAACGTGGGATGGGGTAGCAGACGTGGCTGGCAGGGGTAGGCACCGGAGCCTGGTGGACACACAGAGGCGCTGGTAGCAAGTGGGGAGCGCCACGGCCAGCGCCAGGCCTGCTGCTCCCCTCCCTGGATGTCCTTGGCTCAGGCCTGTCCAGACCTCAAGGTACCAGCAGCTGTATTACGGTACTTCTTGCAAGAGAGCTGAGTATGGTGGTGCACGTAAATATCCCAGCACTCTGGGAAGCTGAGGCGCGAGAACTGCAAATTCAAACCCAGCCTGGACAACTAAGCTACCAAAAAAAAGCAGGACCAAGGATGTACCTCGTGCAGATGCCCCGGGGGTCAGTCCCCAGTCCTGTGCACACAGAGTCACAGGGCTGCAGGCACAGGATAGAGGTGCTCGTGGGAGGGCAGCCTCTCTGCCAGGCAGGGCTCCAGCCAGCAGGAAGGGTGCCCAGCGTGGGAACCAAGATTGGTGTGGGGGACCTCAGCTCCCACACTCACTGCAGCAGCTTGCACTGCCTGCCTGTGAGGCTCCTGCGCCAGATGCTGTCTCAGATCCTCTCAGGACTCGCCAAGTTCACTCCCACACTGTCCTGGGCTGGGCATCACGTGGTCTGTTCCTCCTCAGGGTCGCGAGGCGTGTGGGGGTTCCAGGTCTGATGGCTGCAGCCAGCGTGACCCCCCCAGGCTCCCTGGATGTGCTGCAGCCAGGCTTTTCCAAGACCCTCCTGGGGACCAAGCTTGAGGCCAAGTACCTGTGTTCTGCCTGTAGAAACGTCCTGCGGAGGCCCTTCCAAGCCCAGTGTGGCCACCGCTACTGCTCCTTCTGCCTCAGCAGCATCCTCAGGTGTGTGCGCTGCTGGCCGGGTGGTGCTGGGACACAATTGTTCTGAAGGTTTGGCGACTCCAGTCTAATCCTTCCCAGATGCTGCTGGCCAGTTACCTATCCCAGTGCTGTTTGGGGGCTGGTGGGGCTAAAAACGATGCAGCCTCAGCGTTAACAGGCCTGTTCTCTTCACTGTTGGTCACGTGGGCACTAAGAGGCTCCAGGAGGCTGCTCTAGGTGGCAGGGAAGGAGCTACTGGGCACCTGGGCCCCCATGTCAGCACGCAGCTTTGGGCAACACCCTCTTCAGAAAAGGAGCAGCTTGTCCCAAAAGTAGGGAGCCCCTTGGGTAGGCGTCTCCCTCCCTCACCCCGCTCCCTCGTGGGCTCTGAGCTTTGCATCTGTACGCTTGCTGCACCGTGCTGGTTTTCCGAGGAGGGGAGCTAAAGAATTGGTGGTGTGGAGTCAGTTTGCCATTGGTTCTTCATGGAGGCGTTCATAGCAGACTTTGTTTCTCCGTCCTCCAGCTCTGGGCCTCAGAACTGTGCTGCCTGTGTTCAGGAGGGCATCTATGAGGAAGGCGTTTCTATTTTAGAAACCAGCTCGGTGAGTACCATCTCTTGATGCTCCGAAGGTTGAGCAGAATTCAGTCTTAGAGTCTCCTTTGTAACATTGCTGGTGAGATGATACCTCAGAAGCTTGAAATGCTGAGCACACGGGAGTGCTCGAGGTTTGAGAGGCTGGCACATGGCAGGAGCGGTCCTCCAGTCACCCGTGCCCTCTGTGACCACAAAGGTGGCCCTGACTTGGGGTGGCACCTGTTCCACAGTGGGACCCCGAGGAAGAGGTTTAACCCATGGGTGGTTGCTCTTCTCAGGCCTTTCCAGACAACGCTGCCCGAAGGGAGGTGGAGAGCCTGCCAGCCGTCTGCCCCAACGAGGGGTGCACCTGGAAGGGGACCTTAAAGGAATACGAGGTAAAGAGGGGCAACCCTGTGTTCCTGAGAGCTGCTCTGAGGTGCCCCCAGGTGGTTTGGAAGCTGAAGCTTCACTGGTCAGGGTGCCATGCCCAGAGCAGTGGGCCCCAGAGTCTCCTCCGCTCCTGCCTGCTGGGCAGAGCCTGTCAGCTGCCTGTGGGCAGGAGACACGGCTGTCTTTCAGAAGGCGTGCGTGTAGCGACCAGGTCATCCAGTGCAGACTCCTGAACTGTGGAGCTGTGCGAGGGACAGGCAGGGTCACTGGCTGCTTCCCGTTCCTGTGGCTCAGTCTCCTTGTCGGTCTGTGGAGGCATAGTTCTCCCACCATTGTGGGATGTGAGAAATTTTTTTTTTTTTTTCCTGAACCAGGGATTGAACTCAGGCCCTTGCACTTGCCAGGCAAGCACTTATTCTATTGAGCTATCTCCCCGGCCCCAATGGGATGTGAGAATTGCTGCCCTGGAGTGCTGTATTTGTCTTGGCAGCAGATTTTCCGGTGATGGAAGGACCCACCCTCTAAGCTGCATGGGGTTTTACGTAGTGTTGCTTATGTTGAGGTGGGATTTTTTTTTTTTTTTGCCATCTTTTATTCATTTATTTATTTGGTACAGGGTCGGACTCCTAGTGATCTTCCTGTCTCAGCTTCTTCAGCGCTGGGATTACAGGCATGTGCCATCACACCTAGGATTCTGGGGCCAGCATGGTATTGGGTACCGGGGATCGAACCCCGGTCCTTGTGTTTGCCAGGCAGGCACTTAGTCGGCCGCGCTCTCTCCCCAGCCAGGAGGGATTTCTTGGTGGATCTCCGCATGGTACCAGAGTTGGCCTAGAACTCACAGTCTTCCCATTGCAGCCTACCAGGTAGCTGAGATTCCAGGTGTGTACTGCTGAGAGTTGTGTAATACTGGAAGTCACACAGTTCCTGGGCACTTGGTTCTGTGCTCCCAGAACGACTTACGGCCAGTGACGGAGGTAACCATGGGCTGGAGCTCGACGTTACTTGCACTTCGTCTTTCTGTGCCAGCAGAGTTGGTGTACCGGGGGCTTCCCTGTGAGCCTCTCGCCCCGCTAGGCCCTGCGGCTCGTCTTGCAGTGCGTGTCCGACCCCTGAGCCGTTCCCGTTTCTTCTCTTAGTCTGTGCTCTTCAGTGTCTCACCCTACTTGCTTGCACAGGAACATTTGCAGCAGTGGCAGCATCCGCATAGGCCAAGGTGGATGTGCCCACCCTGCCCCTTGCAGGATGGCTGAAGGCGTGGGCTGTGCTGGTAATGAGACTGGTATGTGCTGCGGCAGGGAGCAGCCCCAGGACCTGCTGCTGAGCGAGCCAGCCACTCAGGAGCGGGGCTCCTGCAGGACCCCCTCCCAGGAGTCCGGAGTGATCAGGTCCTGCAGATGGACTGGGGAGTGGTGGCAGGCAGGAGTCATTGCTGGCTAAGAGAGTAAGACGTTGGAGTCTCAGAATAGGGAGGTTCCTGGAGGATAGCCCTCTGGCCCAGACTGGGGGCTGTGGTAGATGGTTTGCTCACACCTTGCTTTCCTATGCTTGGGGCCTTCAGGGCCAGAACTACCTGGGCTCCCAGGGAAGCCTTAGACCCAGGCAGTGGATCTGGGGGTCTCTGACCAAGCCAGGCCCTGGGGAAATTGGGTCCTCTTCTCTGCCCTGTGTGCCTGGCCACACTTCCCTCATTCTTTTTTGTCTTCTCGGTGCTGGGGTCTGATGGGGGCTTCCTGTACGCTAAGCATGCCAACCCCTGAGCTGTCCCGGCTGTTCCCTTGACTTCTCAGCAGCTGCACACTGAGCTGTGCTTTGGAGGCCCAGCCACTGTGGCTGCACCAAGGAGAGGGAGGCTTGTGGGAGCACCACACCGAGAAGTGGGAGGCTGCGGGGGGGGGCTGCACTGTCCTCCCTAGCACAGGGCGTCTTGTCCAGGCCCCAGAACCACAGTTCAGGGGCACTTCTGCTGCCGTGAGGGAAGTGGTCCTCGGGAGGTGGCAGGGCACTGGGGCTCCCTGTGAGGATGAGCTGTGGGGTAGGCAGTAGTACGCTGCAGGGACAGGCAGGGCCACTGGCTCCAGCCGCGGGGGGCCGGCTGGGCTATCCTGGGGTCCCTGCCACCCCCAGGCCTGTGTTGTCTGGGAGGCTGGTGCACTTGGCTGGGGCCCAGGAGCTCCAATGTGTGCCGCCCCACAGGCATGCGAGCTGGAAAGTCCCTGGCTGTGTCCTGTGAGCTGTGGAAAGTCCCTGCCAGGAGTTGGGGGCGGGGGGAGCCCTGCTCTGGGACAGCAGCTAGAGGCCTGATTTATTGGTAAAACTCCCTGGCAGCAAGTGGGTGGGGCCCGAGTCCTCACCTGAGCCGAGCCCCACCACCTCAGCCTGTGTGCTCAGCTGTGGCTGGGTGTTCCTGGGAAAAGTGGCCCTGGTCTAAAGCTCTTTTTCCTTGATGGTCTGAATTACTTGAAAAGCTGAGAAAAATGGGATAAGTTCAGCCTTTGGCTGTAGTTCTCCTGTGGGGTGATGGCTTTGCTTCTAGGAGCATGGTGGTTTTGGAGCCCAGTGCAGGGCTCCCCCGGCTAAGCCCAGGCCCAGGCCTGGAGAGGCAGGCAGCGCCTGTGTGGCCTTAGCCCGGGCTCTGTGAAGGTTTTAGGTCAGAGCTGAGTTTGAGTTCTGGCTGAGTAAGTCTTGATTTTTTGGCTCCTGCCTGTGGGGTCAGGGAGGACATTATGCTGTGTCCCTGCTACCTGAGTGTGGGGGCAGGGGCATCTGCTGCTGGGACCCTGAGCACAGCTCCAGTGTCAGGGTCTTGCCCCTGCTGAGCCCGTGCTGTGCCACCCCACGCTGCAAAGCTGCCCCCAGCCCAGGGCTGAGGTGCTGCAGCTGGACATCAGATGGGCCGCAAGGCAGGCAGTGAGCTGGGGGGCTGCTGTGCGCCCCTGCGCCCTTGGCCCCGGCAGGTTCTGCCTTTTCCAGGCTTCTTGCACTTCTGTGCTCCCGGGACTAAAGCAGACACAGCCATCATGCTGGCTAACCTGTGCATGTGGCTGTGATGCTAGCAATCCAGCAGGCCCACCCGCCAGGCAGCTGGCGAGATAGCTCAGTGGAATAGATGCTTGCCTGGCAAGCACAAGGTCCTGAGTTCGATCCCTGGTACCACAAAAAACAAAAAGAACAACAGCACCTCATCCTGCCCTGTGCTGGAAGGTGCCATGCCACTGGACCTCGCCTCCAGCCCAGGAACAGCCTTTTTTTTTTTTTTTTTTTTCTTTTTTTCTTTTTGAGAATGTCTCACTGTGCAGCTCAGACTGGCCCTCAGCTCACTTGGTAGCCCAGGCTGGTCTTGAACTCAGGACGATCGTGCTGCCTCAGCTTCCTCCTGCCTTAGCCTCCCGGGTGCTGGGATTGCAGACACGAGCCTGTTGGTGCTTGCACTCTTCCCTCCCGTCTGTTGCTCAGCAGGTGCAGCCCTTGGAGGCTCAGGCGGTTCTGGTTGCCTTTCTGTCCAGACCCATGTAGTAGGACAGTCATTAGGATAAAGGGCCCTGGGCCTGGGCCTGGCCCTGGGCACGGGCACAGCCTGTGTCCCTTCATAGCCCATCCTTGCTGTCCCCTTTCCCGACTCTGTGCTGCCAGTGAGGTTCTCGGCTTCTCGAGGCCTGGCTTCCTTAGGCCTCCCGGGGTACCCCCATGTGGGGCTCCTGGCTCCAGTCATTACCCTCCTTCTCTTCGCCTGTGCTCCCTCCTGGGCAGGGTGGGGTACGCTGCAGGGTCTCAGCCTTCACGCTGGCCCCTTGGCCTGCTTTCCCCAGCGTGTATTGCAGACGCATACCGGGGCATACAGGGGCTTCCGAGCAGCCTGTGCCATCCTGTCCCCGGCCAAGCTGGCTGTGTCATGCCCAAGCAACAGTGCTGTGGGCAGGAGCGGCCTCCTGCCCAGGAGTCTGTGTCTTGTCTCCTGTGGGTGTCCTGCCTCCCATAACCCTGCCTGACGGTGCCAGGGCAGGGCAGAGACCTGCAGCAACAGGGCCCCTCACCTGGGTCTGGGACGGGTCAGTGTCCCTGGCTGGGAGTGGCGAGAGGAGGCCCATGAACTGCATGGAGCGTGGTGTGCAGGGCGAGAGGAGAGGCATGTGAGCACCATGTACACAGCTGAAGCCGGCGCGGATCCTCGTGTGCCCTGCTCAGCCTCCTCCTTCTGTTGTCAGAGCTGCCATGAAGGACTCTGCCCGTTCCTGCTGACTGAGTGCCCTGCGTGTAAAGGCCAAGTCCGCCTCGGAGAGAAGGAGCGCCATGCCGAGCAGGAGTGTCCAGAGAGGAGCCTGGCCTGCCGCCACTGCCGGGCTCCGTGCTGCCGATCAGAACTGGAGGTGTGCTGGGCACCGTGGCCGCCCTGTGGGCCTCGGGGCTGAGTTTGGTGCTTGCGTTGTTGCTGCTGGCCCTTGGTGCCTGTGTTGGTGGTAATCGGCGCTTCCAAGGCGCAAGACAAAGGGCTCCGGGTGGCACTGGGCTCGAGGGCGAAGTCCCTGCTGAACCGCTGGACAGCGTCATTAGAAAAGCCAGTGCTCACCAGGCAGAGGCCTGGCAATGTCACCAGCCAGGGTGCTGTGTCCTCCCCAGACTGTCAGTGAGCAAGCCCGGGTCCATGTTGTTCATCAGAAGCAGCTGGAATGTTTCTAAGGAGCACAGAGCCACAGCACAGTCACTGCTGTGCCAGTCAGCTTTGTCCAGCGCTGCGGTCACATTGGCCCCAGAGTGTGTGGCACTTCGTGGCAGGGAAGGGAGAGCAGTGAGGTCCCATGTGCCCTGCACGGCTGTACCCCTGGTAACCTGCAGACCTCCCACTAGGCCGCAGCTCCTGAAGGCCCACCTCCCCCTTTAGGCCACGCAGGGACCATCCCATTACACGTGGCTCTTGGGGGACATTTTTCAAACCATTATGGCTACGTTTAGAGGGCAGTCGTTGCAGTCACGCCACTTGCTGACTGTCCTGACCATGCTGCCTAAATGGGTCCCGCAGGGCCACCCCTCGCCTCCATTGGAGCAGCACCTGCAGTCAGCAGTTGTTCGTGCTTCCCACACCCGCTTCCCCACACCTGTGTTCCTGCTTGCTGGGTTTGCTTTTTTTTAATATTGGGAATCGAACTTAAGGCCTTGTGCTTGCCAGGCAGACGTTTGTGCCACTGAGCTATATCCCTAGTCCCACGCTGGATTGACTCCTGTGCCTGCTTCTGCCACGAGGCCTGGAGTGAGCAGGACCAGCTGGGCACTGGGCATCTGCAGCAGTATGCCAGGGCCTCAAGTGGCCTCGTGTGTGGTCCAGCGGTCAGTGCATGCTGCCTGCCCCACACTTCCTGGCTGGCACTGCTGTCACTGTCCTCATGGGGAGTCCTCATCTCCCTGTCGTCTGTAGTGGCTTTTCTCACGTGCTCTAGAAGCGTGGGGGAGCAGGAAGAAGTCCTGCACCCCAGCAAGGGCTGCCGGCGTGTCGCCAGCAGAGGCGGAGAGGGGCTGTGTGTGCCCAGTCAGGGCTCGCTCCCTCACAACCCTCGCCCATGTGACCTGGTTGCTCTTCTCCAGGCACACCATGCGGTCTGCCCCAAGTTCCCCTTGACCTGCGATGGCTGTGGCAAAAAGAAGATCCCTCGGGAGAAGGTACGGGGCCCGAGGACCTGCAGCGTGTGGGTGGCAGTGCCCAGAGGGCCGCTATCACCAGGGTGCGCTGTTAACTTGGTGCGCGCTGTGTGTGCTGTGCTAGGTGTGAGCCCCAGGGGCCTCACCAAGCCAGGCGGGTGCTGTGCCATGCAGCCCCCACCTTCCGTCACTCCAGAAGCAGGATGGTAAACTTGGGCTCCTCCTCCAGCTGCTGCTTGTGAGGAGCCTTGGCATGGACCCGTGCTTGGTCTTTTCAAAACTGGTGTGGGTATGGAGAGGTCCCTGGCATGCAGCGATAACAGTGCTGCCCTGGGGCAGGGCGCTGGATGTGCTCAAGTCCTTGGCTGCGGAGCTGGCTCCGTGGGTGACCCCTAGACGGAGGTCCCGGGGATGTGGCGGCCTGTGCAGTCCTCGGCCTCATCCCTGGTGGCAGAGTTGGAGCCACTGTGGTCATGCTGGGCTGCTTAGTGGTCTGCACCTAGGTGGAGTGCCAGGGCTGCAGGCTGGCGCGGCCATGTGCCTGGTGACCCATCAGCTTTTCTGTGCCCATCTGTTTGCTTTCGTCTAGATGGGAGCCACAGCCAGGTCCAAGTCTGGCGGAGCCAGGGAGGGCCCCTGCTGCCCTGTCCTGCACCTAGGCCCTCCTGTGGCCTTGCTGAGCACTCCCTCGTGCCATGTTGCCTTCCATGGTGACTGGGGCGGCTCTCACATTCCGTGTGAGGGTCAGGCTCCAGTTCACTCTTTGAGGGGGCTGAGGATTAAACCCAGGGCCTTCACAGTGAGCCACGTCCTCAGCTCTTTCACCCTGAAGTCCTCCTACGTTGGCCTCCTGAGTACTGGAATCACAGGCGTGCACCACCATGTCTGGCCTGGCTCCACCTCAAGCTCTTATGGTGGGAGTCCTTTTTTTTTTTTTTTTTTTTAATTTATTGAGGAACAAGTAGCAATAAGACAGTTTCAAAACTGATTAATAAAACAGTCTCAATAATTAATACATGGTACATTGTTATCTTCTTAGTGGTTATTCATAGTACAAGATGCAGACAGGATATCCTGTCCAAACACTATTAGTACAAATCTTTCTTTCTTTTTTTTTTTTGGCAGAACCGGGGCTTGAACTCAGGCCCTTGTGCTTATCAGGCAAGCACTTATTCTACTGAGCCATCTCACCGGCCTCAGTACAAATCTTTCTTCTCATTGAATTAAGCGAAAGTAGCTGTATATCTACCCTAACTATTCTGCATATACAGATACAAAATGGTCCTTCCCTTGTATCACCTTTTTTTGTTTAGTCCTGTCAGAGATGGGTATTCCATTGGCATCTAAATACTACAGGTGCGTGAATTCAGCAAAACAATCCAGCCCAGTCCAGCAGTCCACAGTAGTAGTGGGCTGGGCTAAGCACCTGCCTGGCGAGCACCAGGGCCCTGGGTTCAATCCACAATAGTAGTGGGTTATCCACAGAAGTTGTTGACTTGAGCCTTTCACAGCTCAGCATTTTAATATGGCTTTACTTCTTATATTTCGTTTTTATACTTTTCTGCTGGATGGCTGAGGCCAAGGTAAAGCAGGACCTATGCAACAAGAGCTGTAGCTTTTGGATCTGCTAAGGTCAGTGAAATCCTCTCAGGATTTATCCTGAGATCCTGTACATCAGATTGTAGAACCTTTGTCGGTGCAGCCATGTGGATGAGTCATGGCCATTGCTTGGCCAATGTGCTCTCTGTGAAAGCCTGAGAGAATGTTTTTTTCTTTCCAGGTGACTCTCCCCAGGCACACTATACATCATCGATCACTTTCCTCTGTGGCTCCATAATCTTCTTGATCAGAAAATTTGGAGCACAACTGAGTTACATGTTGTTACAGTACAGGTTCTCCTATGTCCCGAGTCTTCACTGACCTTGAAAGGTTAGGGCCAAAATGTTGGCTGACGCTGCAGCCCTTC